CTAATAAAAAATTACGCTATATAGAAGAGACGCCTCGGCAGATATTTGTTCATATTTTGCGATATAATTTGCCCGGTTATTAAACTTAAAATACGTTCCTTCGAACAACCGAGAATTTACTTGAAAATGATATTCATATTGATAGGAAACAGAAATTTCGAAGCAGATGTATTTTCTGCCTCGAATGTACGTATAGCCTCGTAAATTACAACTTTACGCTCTTATGATTTCCCTAGATACGTTTATAGAGTTGTCGATACGCAGTCCGTGAATTATCGATACGTATTCACGGACCGCTTTAAACTGTATAATGTCTCCAATTAAAAACCAATCCGTTATGTTTCGCTGCGCAATCGATTTTATTTTTAAATCCTATATTTCGAAATTGCTCGCGTCGTCATCGAAATTTAAGAAATGTTATATTTCACGATAGAATGAGAATTCGCTCGGGATCATTTGCCGAAATTGCTCAAAAATAAAAGCCGCTACGAACAGATAAAAATCGAGAGTGTTTTAGCGAAGTTATATAGGTAGGTGAATGCAATATCTCAAGCGTAACACATGGCGTATTATAAAGTCATAAAGGTTATTCAATTTCCCTTCAAGACACAAATGCAGTTCAAATAACTTTGATGTAGAAATTATTTCATGTACATAAATTCTCTGTACGATGTCGACTTCGAAATATTGCAAGAGAACGAGTGTAGCTTTAAATGGAGATACTTTCCACCAGTAAACTACTTTATCGTATCACTTCGATATAACCGCATGAAATTAAATTAATTTCCTGTCCCTACGAAAAGTATTTCTACGTTGTTGTATTCGCTATTGCATTTATATACTATTTAATTAAGTCTGTGCATATTAAATTTCGTATCATTTATGGATATACAAATGTTATGCTACTCGAGTAAAATATGGAATCTGATAAGAAGACGCTTCATTGGAAAATAAAAGTACGTACTGTTAAGGTATAGAGAGGATCTGGAAAAACAAATAGTTTCAAATTTATTTACAAATTATTCAGCTCTCCGAAGGACTCGATAATCTACTCGCTTTGTTTGTTTGTTTTTTTCTGATTTCTTCTAATCACTCCTAATGGCTTTTTAATAACTTCTAACCGCTTTTAATCGCTTTTGTCTCAACTAAAACCTGGACGTCCTTCAATGCTCACATACACTTTCACACGTTCAGTATAAATTCTTTTTTTTTTATTTATTTATTTGGATTTTACAATTTGTCCAGTAGGACATTTGGTAAAATATTATAGCGGTATACTAATATAACATGTGGGTGGCTACTCCCAGCGGGGTACCATCATCGTGTTTGTTAGGTTATGTCCTTTGTGAGATCTGTTGGGTGTTTTCTTTTTAATCTTCTTTTTATGCTTGATGTGTCGACCGTTTCCGCTGCCAGCCGGTTTGGGTGCGTTGCTAGTTCATGTACCATTTATTTACAAGTACCCTTTATAGCCACTGTATCGAGAGCCATTCTCCGATTACTAAGAACTATTGGCACGAAAAATTGCAAACATTTCCTTATCCTCGTCTTCTAATAATATACGTTATTTAAAAATACATTTCTTTCCTACATTTCGTGTAAACCGTAGATAGAATGCTGAGATAAATCACGGCAGACTAAAACCGCGAATAGAGGCGACGAAGCAAGCTGTCCCTGGCGATTAAATATCCATTAGTCGGATCCAATCGGTAAGAGAACATTGGATCGGACATTGAAGGACGCGTTTCGCGAGGAATCGTACGTGCGATGTCACGGTTGTTAAGAGAATACTTTTGCCGGTGAAAGCCGTGGATGGTAAGATAGGTGGTGCAATAAATGTCACTACGGACAGAGCTTAAGGCTGACCATCACGGGCCGTTTGCCAAACGAACTTCTATCTTTAGTTTTGTCGATCGTTTTGCTCGTTTAGCAGGATCCAGGCCAGCTTTCTTGGCATTCGAAGCACCATATCCACCCTCTTTCGTCCAAGTATCGTTAGCATCGTCGCATCGAGGACACGTTCGTCTCACACCCTTAGGCTTAGTTTCGAAAGCTCTGGCTGTCGTCTGGAAAACACAAACCTCGCAGGAACGACCGCCGGCATCGTCAGGATACGGGCATCCGTTTCTCCAGTTTCTGGTCGAGCTAACCTCCCGATTCTATTTCGCTGTATCTTCAGTTGAACGTAAAGTTCGTGGCATCCGGTTCGTAAAGGAACTCAGTAAACTGTCGAGTTGCAAATTCGTATCGTCATGCCAAACGTGCTGGTCCGAAATCCGAACGAAACTATCCTACGGCTCGCCCGACACGTTCCAAAACGTTCGCCTCGCACGTGTATTTAACGAATTACTTGCTAGTTTGTTTTAATTTCGTTAACGTCTCTACCTGTACGTTTGCTTTCACTTCTCGAGGCGCGTTTCGGTTCGTTGCTGTTCAACTGTGAATATCGAGCTGTGATTCCTGCTATTTTCCAAACATTGTTATTTGCTAGGTTAGACGCACGCTCGGGAATTATCGGATTAACGCGCTTCATTCGTTCGCTCTATTTAGAACTTTTCTATTGTGATAAATTTGAAACGCAACGGAGAGGCAAAGCAACAGGGGAAACGAAGTCTGCAGATTATAATGGAACTTTCCTCCAGCCGTATTCCAGTTATTGCAAAACTCTAATAAATTGTACTATTCCATTTTACTTTTCTAAAAACTTTATTTAGTGTTTTACGTTGTGAGGCACCTACGAGCTGGATTAACAGATTTGTAATTAAAAACAAACGAAGAACGAAACGAGCGGAAAGCATTGAATTTAAGTTAACGTCACAGCACTTATGGTCGCCAGTATACGATTTAATATTTTTACGTTTCACTCGTTGGAAGATATGACTGTAAGGACTGCAACATTTTTATATGTTACAAACACTTCAAGGGCATCGTGCAACGAGAATTTTTCTCCGAAGAACGATCAGTATGCAGCGAGGCTTTCAACCATACGTCTTACTTTGAATTTGTACCAAACTCTAAGGAGTTTCAAAGTTAAACGATCGAACTTTACTGCTATGTTCTACGAGTAAAAATAGGAAAAAATGTGTAGACGTAGATCCGGAAACGTCCTACTAAAAACTTGTAACGAGGATATTAAGCGCGAAAATACTGTTGGAAGGATGAGCGAGTATCGTAGAATAATTTGTCTGCTGTTTATGCTAAAAGCGAATCGATAAAGATGCTCGCTGAGGTGAGAATCAGGAGTAAAATACTCGCGGGAAATGTCAGATATCGAGCATGCTTGTTTTAGAGTGTCTCCGTAGCAGAGCATCTCAATAAGTATTTCTGACATATCACGTCTCAGGAGAGGATCCGACAATTCAAGTATATACTTGAGAACATTGCTTTCAAAACAGAAACTTCGATTTATCGACTATAAACTCCTCTGTGTTATCGTTCCATCTTCAAGAATGCTCACTTCTCTTATAATACAAACTTGTTAGGATATAACCAGCGATTTATCTTGGAAATTTCAATTCCGCGAGACTACAGGTTACACGTTGCTAAAGTCGCGAAGCCGTTTATATTGATAATTTAAAAAAATATTTAATTTGAAATCTATCTCTTTGCGAACTAATAAAGTATAGTCGCGTGAAAATTTCATTGAGCTATCTATGTTACGTAAGTGTTCGCCATTCTCAGCCTCTCAAATTTCAGCTCCTAAGAACATTCTCCATGACAGTATCTGTCACTAACTTCCGCATTTCGGCTCGATGGCCCTTAAGTTTATTTACGTATTTACACGTTGTCCTTGAGGCAACCCAAATGGAAAAAATCAGGAGCTGTCAATCGATCGAAAGGTTTGATAGAAACTCAATTTCTGGAAATAGAACTTTATAATCTCAATTCGTTGAATAACGCCGTAACCTCGCATAATCGATCTTGCAGGTACAACTTCAGAAGTTCTCGAACGAAAGAAAAGAAATTCGATTAAAAAATATTATGAATATTTCTACCGATCTTTTTACGACTTCTGCACCACCCTGTTTATTTCAGCCTCTGAAACACGCGTTTCATGCCATGTATTTCCTTTTATTTGGTTTTCATTTCCAATTAAAATATTTCTTGAATCGAACTAATCGGGTTTTAGTACATGCAACTTATTGCCTCTCCAAGTTATGGAACCATCTCGTAATGTTTCGCCGTTTACGTTCTATTTAACTAGTAATATAAAATTCGATTGAAAATTAATGATCAGTGTTCTTTCTTCTCTTTTTTTCGTTAACGTCGAATAAAATTAAAAATGTATGGATCTACGAGTAAGCTTTGAACATACAGGTAAGTAATATTTATACGAATTTCGAAGTTGAAGGGTCGAATGTTTTTCGTACGACACAAGGTCCATACATTGGCTTTTCCATTACTATTTTTTACACAGCCAGCTAACGTCCGTTCCAGTTTTCGAGCAATTTTGGACTGTTTTGTCATTCGCGCATGTTGCTTGCTTCCCGTTACTCGTTTGTCATTTTACTTGTGCCAGAAATGTTTGACGTCAATGGCGATCTGAAATCCGAAAATTTTTGTTATTTCCAACGCGATACCATAGCCGTCGTCGAACGCTGGGAAAAACAATACTCGCGCCGTTTCAACGATTTTGACTTCCCTGAATTCGATATCAAAATAATCAAGCGTCTCTATCGTATTTCGTTTCTACTCGAAGCTTCGTACGCTACTTTCACCGAATCGCATCGGTGAAATGTTCATCAGAGAGCAGCATAGCGCTTCTCAAGAAGGAGTTCGACTAAACTTCGAGCTGCGCGATCGAATTTGTGAGAGGCTACCGCCGCTGGAAAAATTCGTAGAATCGTCGAATCGAATGACAATGGGCGAACGTGAACCGGTAGGAAAGTCGAACTGCGGCAAAGGTCTGGGGACCCGGAATTACAGTTTCGAAGGAGAGTAAAGCGAGTCGAATCCTCTTCTTCGCCACTCCCCCCATCTCCTTTACGTTCGTTTTGCAGGCTTGTCCCCAACGAGCGACGGCTTGTTTGTCGCAAGATGTCGACCGGATTTGTAAACCACCCTGTTCGAATCGACCGAATTATTCCTGGAACCGCGAGATAATTAAGGAAGTTTCACCGAGGACAATCCGTCTTGGCTGACTGCTTCTGTGGACTCGTCCCGTTGGAAAAGGGGTTGAGAAGACAGACTGGTTCGTAGCGATCTACGATCAACACTCTCTCTTTCGTCCCCCGCCCTCTGTTTCTCTTCCTCGCTCGCTCTCTCTCTCTCTCTCTCTCTCTCTCTTTCCTTCTTCCTCTGTCTTATCTTTCCCTTTCGCTCCTACCGTCTGGATGAACACCCCGTTCGATACGTCTTCTCGTTTGGCTAGCTTCGATCTACCAAGGGACAGGCGAGACGTGCTCGCGTCAAGAACTTCTTGAGATCTGCCTCGAACAATACTATACCTTAGTCCTTACTCGTGCACCTTGCAATTTCGCCTTGCAACTTTCTTGTATAGAAGAGGAAGGAGACCGACCGAGTCTGTGAAACGCAGAGTTCTGGTATTATGGTTTCACGGTAAAACATAGTGTGTCAAGCGTTTGATGAATTGTGATGGAAAATTGTGAGAAGTTCCCTTGGAAATTTAACTCTGTTTACAGGGAAATGAATGCGAATAAGTTGGACGTAGTTGGTGCGCTGTGTTCAGTTTGGATATGGCGAAACGGATATAGGAATAATTTTCAGTTTATTTTGTAATAATTGAAATAAATGATGATCCGCCAGCGATAAGTAGACCGTGGATTTTTACGAAAATATATATTTCTCAGAATGTAGTTTAAAAAGTAGAATATCGGTGGAAAATTGTTCTACCAAGTGATACAGAAAGCATTACGCTTTGAATATTTTATACATTTTTTTTATATTATGTGCATTTTGTGTAATTTTACGCTTTAAAATTTCCTATATGTAGATGCATAAAAATTCACAGTCTAGCGATAAGACTACGTAATATGCAATTTCCAATTATTCTTTGTGTTACTTTATTTTAGGTTACGTTATTTCCAGCACGATTGCCTTCGAATTTCTCCCGTTTCGCTCATCAAAGTTTCTCCGTTTTAAATGAACCCGTACAAAATTTACATTAAATACTAGGTTTCCCAGCGGAGGAAAAAAGAGAGCTAAATGCGACTCCGTCCGCTATTCTTGGCAAAAATGCAAACCAAGAAGCGCCGTTTCTGTGCGTGGGTGTATAAAAAAACAGGAGGTTATGGAGGTCGTGGTGGCATCAAAGTATGACCGAAGTACCTCCATCCTCGGTCTCGTTTATGGTCGAGCGTCTCGGAACCACAGAGTGCATCGTATAAGTGGTGACGGAAAAGGGAAATTTCATTTTGTATGGCGTCGTTTTCTTTTCCCATCCCGCTGTCCCTTTTTCACCGAAATTATCCGCGAACCGCTCTACACGCAGCGCTCTTTGCTCGTTAAAGCGGAATATCGAGCTGCATGCAACCTCTGCCTCTCGTTGGTTTTACACACGCGCACATGTTCACCTATCTACACACACTTGAAAAATCTTTGTACTGTTTGGCGACAAGATTTTAATATTATAGATGAGTAAAAAGCATAACGGCTTACGAAGTATCCGTATAATGTTATTAAATCTACGAATAAAAATAAGAAGAAGAGACGTTGTACGCGTAGAAATAAGTTCAATGGAAGCAAAAGGGATGCATGGTGAAATATTAATTAATACTTTGAGTAACTATGACATGGATATTATGGAGAAAACTATCTCTATCAGGCCTGTAAGTACGAAACCGGAATTTGCCTATAGATGGCCCTAGCTGATAACGTAGTTATCACTAAACTGCGTCATTGATGGCTTACTCACCAGACTTGGCTCCGTCCGATTACTATTTATTTGCATCGATAGGACACGCACTGTTTGACCAACACTTCACTTCTTACGAAAATGTACGAAAATGGCTCGATGACTGGTTTGCCTCAAAAGAGCGGCAGTTTTTTTGGCGTTGCATCCACCAATTGCCAGACAGGTGGGAAAAATGTATAGCTAGCGATGGGCAATACTTCGAATAAAATATTTTTAATCATTTTCATACAATAAACGTGTATTTTCTATAGAAAGATACCGGTTTCATATTTACACGCCTGGTATTTGTACGATCAAAAATCGAGATTTAGAAATCATTTTACGAATGCAGAATGACTGCACTTTTTAGAGTTGTACAACCCCTGCGCGTTCAATAGTAATAAATGTATTGCAAATAACAAATTAAGGGCACGCAATTTCGCGAACACGTGGGTTGCTCTCTTAGTGTACTCAAGTAAACTCTTCGAAAAATACTTCGGGTAATATTAACACGATAATTTCCACGGTGATCATCAATGATCTACGTTCTATTAAATTATCTCAAAAATGATTAAAATACGACAAATTAAATCGACCAAAATATTTTCAACGCTATGAGTGAGCTAGAGAACAGTTCCAGAGAGAATGCAATATTGTATTTTTCAAGAAATAAATGTTAAGGTGTAATATATTTCAATTTATTACAACTTCTATGGTGAAATACGTACAAAATATGTATAAAATTGCGTGACAGTCAAGGTAACTTGCCGCGCGGAGGTCAATATCAGCGTCAAAGACTACGCATCGAAACAGAAAATGATGCTTCCGATAGAAATTTGCGTGAAAAACATGACGTTAACCTTAATTGATCACTTCGGAGCGTTAAAACTAGCGTTTCAAACGAATAGACAGAGATATTGCATTTTACGCTTTATCACCCGTGCCTTTATCCCGTCAAGCTTCTTCCGCGTTTCATATTCCTTTCCTTGCCCACACCCATCATCCATTTTCCACGTTTATTTCTTTTTTCAAATATCGTAAAGGTTCATGCTTCACGACTCCTGTTGCCCGTTTCACACCCTCTCACCTTACGTTCTCCTATTTTCCCCTGTTTTTTTTCTCCACTGCTTCAACGTTAGACGATTTCATAGAGACGCGTCGCACACGCTAACGTTCACCAGTTGTTCGACGCATCGTATTTCTGTCGCTGACAATAATTTCCATAATGTCGCGACCGTTCTTCTCCAGGAAACGTTGCCACTTTGAATCCATGAATTTCTGTGACAATTTTTCCGCCGAATTTACCGCGTAGTTAAGATAATTTCAACTACAAGCACAGTGAACGAAGCGGAATGTGTCTTTACACATTCACGTTAGCAATTACATATTTCACTGCCAAAATGTTTCAGATTGAAATTCCTCGCTCGATTTATGGTATTTACAAACGTAAACTGTGGATGAGAAAATTTGTATAATTCGACGATACGTAAAGCGGGCGTTTTTCAATGAAAACCAAATACGTTCTCGAAAGAAATACCGTGCAAGAGAGAATCTTGGCAATGAAATCAAATATTGGATTGCTTTTATGGTATTGAAACAAGACGATAAAAAAGGAAGCTACCACTCTCTGTCGTACCATTTACGAATACCAAACTCTTTGGTTAACGATATTTTTCAATATTTTTTTATTAAATCCATATTAGCGATAAAACAGAAACGCAATCTTTCGCATCTTTCTAAACAGGCTCCTCTTATAATAGTATTAACCCTGCTGCGATCCTCGACTTCCTTATACCTTAATCTTACCATTGTGTTAATAGAATAAAAGGCTTACAACTACTTAAGAAAATAATCGTAAGCAAAATATAATAATCGTCACGCATACGAATAATGATTCTTTCTTGTTTTCCTCAAACTTGAGACATTTTCTGGTACATGATAGAAAATTACGATTTGACTGAAAAAACGCAATAGGCTTAAAAAGAAACTCGTGGAAGATTTATCTGGATGCATAAAGTTACGGTTCCCTATGTTATCGTACAAACACGACGTCTATTCTCGTACGCATGTTCCGAAACAACGTAACCCTGTCGCGAGGGTGAATATATTTACCAGCGAGCCTCTTTTAATCCAAATTTATAGTCACGTCACTATCACGTTACTTCTCGTGTCACTAGCTCGATTTCAACCGATCATACCCATTACTATTACTGTCACGGTATTTCATTGCGAACCGTCTTATCCTCTGTTGCTGCGGTAACGCGAATCAGTCTTAAAGCTTCCTGTTTTCCTATCCGACCACGGAGCCTCTTCCTTTGTAACGGCAACGCGAGCGAATTATTGCCCGCGTTTTTATTGCACGAGCTATTGCGTGTATGAAGACCGAGTCGGAAGACAACAAATTTTCTTTCGTATCTTTCCAGACGGGCTAGCAGGAAATGGGAAGCGAAGCTTTTGAAAAATAACTCGAGGCATTGCGGTGCTCCGGGAATCCCGTGACTCAACCATTCTATTGTCCGAAGAAGCCAGTAACAGCCGAAGGAGACGCAGGTATTTTTCAAGATTTTCCCAGTTCTGTTTTTCCCCTGTCTAGCCGCCGTTGTTCTTCTGCCAACGTTTTTCGTCGTCATCGTTCTACAGGTGCGGCCTTAAAAGTAAAGTCTTTCCGGTAACGTTAACCTCTTTCGTGCGGCGCTCGTTTGCCGCTTAGCACCGTTTGATACTCGATGGAACGAACCGTGATACTTTCTTCAACCGATCGAAATTCAATAATTATTTTTAAGTTGAGAAGTTTCGCAAGAGTTGATAGAACGAAACGTCCAGAACGACTAACCAGGAGGATATAAACAGTCGACTAAAGTGAACCGTAGTCTGCATAGCCGCGTTTACATTAGGCAACTACAGTTGAAACAACCAATCAAAGATAGACGAACCAGCTATCCCTGATCGAACGATCGGAAGCTGCGTCAACTTGGTTGACGCTGTGTTTACACGGACGAATTTAAACTGTCTAACGTCGATCGACTCAGTTGCTCGATCAAAAGTTGCAGGACATAAACGAGGTTCCCGTAGGACGCGTTTGATGATCGCCGAATTTAGTCGACCGTCGATTATAATCGACGCTCGTACCAATCAGATTAAAACAGATCGGTACCGTTCGAAATGCCGCCTGTTTCGAGCGAGTAGATCGAGGAACGCAATAAACCAGCCTCTCAGCGATCGGTATTTAGAAGAAAGTATCGGTGAGATCGATCAGCGAAATTTTATTAGACCGTTCTCGGTAGATTGATCACAGGTCATATGACCATTTATTGTCCGTCGAAACAAAGTGATTCGGTCAGGACGAAAGTAGAGCGAAGCGTGAATGACATGCTCTGCAGAGTGGAATAAATTCGAACCTTTTGATCGCTGGCGCTTCTTTTATTCGTTCGATCGTTAAGGTGGTCGATTCGAAACGGATCGCTGGACACCCGCCCGATTTTCGTTTCTCCTTTTTTTTTCCGTGTTCATATCGCGACCGCTTCTGAAATTTAATCGCAGAGACCATTCTCTCAGTAATAGCATCCTTCGTTTTTTTCATCGTGAACGAGCCGATTCTTGAACAATTTTGTTCCTCGTACCGTTGAATATATAACCAACCATCCTGCGTAAAGAAAAGTCACGAATTCTATTTAACGAATATTAATCTGCATCGAAAACTTTGTTACTAGATGTACGCTGAATATCTTTTATCTGGACACCCGTTATCGAAGCGTTTTATACCCGTACGTTTCTACATTTATAGGAAAAAGAGATGCAAGAATAAATGGAATATCCAAATTGGAGAATCGCGTAGAGTTGGAAACGATGGAACAGTATACAGGGAAAGAACAGTGCAGTCAAGGAAAATACATACCGCTCTCTATGAGATGATATTATTTCTTAAGATCTTACTTCAAATAACGCATTCCTTTGCCTAATCACCTTTTTACATCTCTATTGTACTTGCTAATCAAATTTGACCAAATATTTTAAAGAAATCCTACGTGGATTTCCATGAAATTTTCTTTAAAAATCGAACTAAACGGGAAATATCTGGAAACGCCAATGGTTGGTAAGATAGTTACTATCGGAAATACGGCGTTCGATTGAGTAGCCGGATGCAGAGATGGTAACACGTGCAGAACGTATCAACGCATATCTTGGACAGTTCTATTTGTATTCATAGCCGATATGTTTCTTTTCCTTCTATTCGCGTTCAATACACTCCGGTCAGGAAAATAGGACCGCGTGAAACTCAACCGACATTTCGAGGCATTGTAGCTGAACGGGCACGACGCAAACTGAATACCACTCTAATGCCTACTCGAAACCTTGATACTGGTATTTACATGGATCCTACGAAAGCTTGGAGTCGATTCGATAGACATTCATGGCCGTGGCAATCGAACGTGTAACTATTCACGGGGGCTACCAACGGTCCGGTATTATCTTGACTGTTCGCCCCTCTCCGCTCGTGCCAACGATCCGAATATTCGATAGCGAAGAGATAGACCTCTTATGTTACTTTCTTTTTTGCCTATTCCATAGCTTTTCCATTGCGAAATTTTAACTTCGAATTATACGTTTCCATTTACCGTTCGAATCGATCCAACTTTTTAACGAGGAGTTTCAACTTCTTCAAAAGTTGATAGCGATAGATACTATTAAATATTATTAGTGAAATTAATAAGGAGATTAATTTTAAGGATAGGACCATTTGTTTAGCGAGTTTAGTCAGCGCGTAAATCACCAGTACTAATCGGCGGATTGCGATTTTTTATGCAAATTAATGTTTAATATTTATGAATATAAGAAAAGAAATACAACTTTATCTGTTTGTCCGTTTGAAAATTGTAACCAATACATGGGCGTAATTTTATGCGCGTAAATGCGTAAAAAGCAACGATCCATTCATTAGCTATGCTAAACTTGATCTTTTCATTGGCGAAAGCTACAGTGTTCTATTATATATTAGACGTTATCATAATTATTCGCGGCTGAGACTCCATAAACTGCTTTGGTTCGCAGGTTTTGGTTAACATTCCCTAGAGTGCGGGCGCTGTCAGAACTCGGCTAATTTAGCGAAATTAGACGTTGCCCGTTTTCAAACGGCACAGTACGAATGAGAATGGAAACGGAAACGTATGCATCGACTGAACCAACGGCTTCGTCGAACTTTTATCATAATTTTCTATTCGTGGTTCGTCAACGACCGCTCGGCTAGGTATCGTGACTCGAAGAACGGCTGGTGAAAAAAAAAAAAGAATAGTATTTTATGTGGTGCACGCGCGCCCGGAAACTGGATTCTCGCTGCAGGCTCTTTTTTATTCGTGCATCCGTGCTAACTTTTTACGAGGCTCACGAAGAATGGCTTCCGCCGCGATAAAATTCACGCGTCTAACTGTCCGTCTTTGTTTCCCGTCGTAGTCGTACGCCTGTTTTCTATGTACAGTTTCACACGCACACGCCGCGCGTTATGACATTCGAATCTTTCTTCTCGTTTTGTAAGAATCGTTCGCTAATCTAATATTAGGTCGTCGGAAAAGTTTCTTTCGTTTCGTAAGGCGATAATAGATGAGCAACAATTTCTGTTTTATATTATTTTCTCGAATTAGGTATGATCCATTTCGTTCTAATTCTATTATTATGTTCGTGCATAATTCAATAAACTAGTATAAAACAAGAAACATTGTGCGTCTATTATTTCTTTATAAAACGAAAGAAACATTTCGGACAACCTCGCTTTTGAGAATAAGCCCGCGTTCTTTTGATAAATTCCGATTACTATCGCAAGAGTTGTTCTTTATCGATTCTTTATCAATTTCATATTTTTATTAACATAACTAAAAAAATACAAACTTATACAGGGTGGTTGGTAACTGGTGGTAAGGGGGTGATTTTACGCGAAAAAAGAAGTCGAAAATATAGAATAAAATTTTTTCGTTCGAGGCTTTGTTTTCGAGAAAATCGACTTTGAATTTTTGCTCGGTACGCGTGCACTTTATCGCGTCTCGTTATAACGGATCTCATTGTAGATCGTTGTCTCGATGGAAAAATTAAAAAAATAAAAAATAAAAAAAATTTTATTCTATATTTTCGACTTCCTTTTTCACGTAGAATCACCCCCTTCCCGCTTGTACCGCCAGTTACCAACCACCCTGTATAAAGATTTATTTCGTATACCTCATTCTGAATATAATTTATATTTTTGCATATTACGTGCATTTTCTAGATTTTTGCACTTTAAAGCTTCCCATAGATACATAAAAATCCGCGATTTACTGACAAGAAACAGGAACCACGTATGATTCGTCGATTGAAAAAATCTATGAAACACAATTTAGTCAAAAATATTCTTAATTGTATGCGAGGATTTTCTTCTAGTCTTTCCAGTCTCGTACATCGCACAATGCCATAATTTACTAATATTTATATTAGTACAATCCTAACAGTTCTCTGCACATCGCTAGGAGTATGCCTCAATTTTCTATGCAGATTCGCAATAGAGTTTCTCCGAAAGTAAACGAGATACTTTAAACTGCGAACAAGCAACGTTTTGTATACAACAGCAAAAATATTCGTATGTGTGTAAAATACGCTGTGAGGGGCAATATATTTCAAGAACACGCGAAGTACTACGATACGAGAAGTGCATAAAGTATAGTTCTGAATTCACACCTGGGTATCTTGGTTTTGTTCAAAATATACACGTACTTTTCGCGCACATAAGAGAAAAACAAAGTGACGCATATATATGACGAATGGTAGAACACAAAAGCAAAATAGCAGCCGGAAAAATTTTAACAGTTTTAGTTTAGTTTTCGCATGAACTCTCTATTACTTTTCCCATTTCTTGCTTTTTCTAACGCGATGAACGTGCATTTGCTTCGATTTGGAGAGATTTCGAGTCGATGTTGTTTCTAAATGTGATCCTTCGATCGTATTTCGTATTTTCGTATCTGTGGTTTCGCGTGAGTTTTCTTACAAAAAAAAAAAAAAAAAAAAAGAAGAAAA